CCTATGGCATTACACAGAACATTATTGCTCCATTCCGTCAAGCACACCTTACAGATGATGAGCAGGAATTTAATACGAGAATGAGCAGAGTTCGGACATGTGTGGAATGGGGTTTTGGTAAAATCTGCCAAAATTTTGCATATTTAGACGTTAAAAAGAACTTAAAGATCCCTTTACAGCCTGTGGGTAAATATTATTTAGTTGCATGTATTCTTATCAATTGTCACACCTGTTTATATGGGTCACAGACAACCACTTATTTTAGTTTAGAGCCGCCACCCCTGGAAACCTACCTATCCAACCTGTGACCATGTTTACGTGGTCTTTCTACCTATAATTATTTTATTTATGTAAATAGCAACAGGAGTGAAATAAAACAAGAGAAGATGAATCTTTTATTTTCTTTTCCTCCAGTGAAGACAAATTATGTTTAAAGGGTGTCAATAAAGTAAGACAAAAGTATGAATATGAAGCAGAAGTAAGAGCTTATGCTTCAAGAGCAACTAAAGACAAAATGATTTATTTTTTTCAGTTGTTCTCGAAGCATGGAGAACAAAAGCTTCCTTTCTTCAGCTTCATCTTCGTACTTTTGTTTCTGAAGATCCAGCTCCATCTTTCTCACTTCCAGCTCTTTGTCTTTTAGTTTTGCCTTCTCTTTGTACTTTTCTGACAGCATTTCAATTGCTGACTTTCTGCTTGACCTGGCAACTTTCTTTTTGGTTCCTGTAGAAATAAATTACAAAAGAAAGAAAAGAAAAAGTGTTGTATTTATTTATATAGAAGAACAACCAAAGCATCAAGCCCCCCTCTTCCCCCAGGGGTGGGGAAGGAGATGGAAATATGTAATCACAGTGTGGCAGAAAACTGGGCAACCACATTAAAATTATGGATCTATTGAGTCCCAAAGATGAGCAGTCAAGCTCTTGAGGCAGACTCTCAAATATGTTTAAATAAAAATATATATATTATATATATGGATTTCATCAAACAAACATTTTGTTCATTACACCACACATTACTTTCCTTTCATGGCCCCCAGTAGAAGAGAAAATCAATTTCATATACTGTATTTATGGCAACCAATCAGTCAGACAAGTTGGAATAATAGTTTACTAGATTTCACAAAGGTTACCTTTTGAAGGAATTTCTTCATCTGACCCGCCACTAGACACATCCAACGTGGCACCACCTGATGTGCCAGCATCACTACGGCGCTCTAAAATGAAAGCAATTTTGTTATTTTGCATTTCATGGGTTCTATTCAAACTGGGTTAAAACTACAAACTGTCAAGTGAAAAAGTTTGCACTTAAATTATATGGTGCTCAATCACAACACATCATGAACCACCAAGTAAAACAGGAACTGTCAGAAAATTGTGTAAAGACTGTAAAACAGCAAAAGAAAAACAGTCCTTATGGATATCATCACTATAACCTACGCTTGCTTGGACAAAATAATATTGAATTGGATATTAACTTGCTAGTCTTTCCACCGCTGCCTGCCGCATCTCCTCCCTTTTCCTTTTATCTTCCTGCTCCCTTTTCTTTCTTGATTCCTTTTCTATCTGTCGCATCTCTATCATATCTCTTCTATACACTAAGATATCCTCACATAACTGCTGTAACTCAGTGAATTCTTCCTCTGTGCCTGATCTTCAAAATCATAAAAAATAATAAAAACACTACAGTTACGTTGTAGTATGTTTGATCAGTGCAGTCAGAATGTTTTGAAGTAGATCATTGGCTGTTCCCAAAAAGTATCCGGCTGCAAAGTCTGACACAGTTCTGTTGCTAAGTATTTATTTATTGTGATCTAATGGAAAGTGGCCGGTGGTGGGACCTTAACTGAATTCTGGCACTCATCAGCTTGTTCTGACATTGCTGTTTGATATGCCTGCACTTGCATCTGTGCTTGTATCCAAGACCTCTGTAAACCCTTTACAAACCAGGTATCACAAATCCAAAATAAAGGAGAGAATTAAAAATCTTGACATAAATGCTAGGCCAGTGTTGTATAAAACCTAAATGAGGAGGCAGAAGCTAATCAGGAAAATTGTAAAAATTGTAAATTGTGAAATTTATGATAATAAAGGATTGGATTTGCCTTGAATCAAGTTAAATGATAGCGTAAATTGTGTAGGCCAGAGTCAAAATTTCAGTTTGGTTTTATACTCCATTACACTATCAAATTAAATCATGTTTTGGATGAAACTTTATTTTCGTGACAGATTGTACATTTTACCATTAGAAGAGCAAGATTATTGAAAAGGAAAGCAATACGAGAAACAAACATATGGACTTGTTGTACATTTGTAATTGTGACTAATGAAAACAAAGGGTTGAACGTTTTGCTCAGTTGTGAGTATAAACAAGCCAACCAACAGTAAACTTACCTCTTTAAACCTTTCATGTCTTCTTCTTTGTATTTGGTTAAAATCCGATCCATTTTTTCACGGCAGCCTCTTCCCTTAAGCTCAACGGTACATGAATCCGTAGAAAATGCTTCGCCGAGTCTACTAGCTACTGCTTCCCACTCATCAGGTTTCTCGGGGTTGTGTTGAGCTACTTCCTTGGCAAGTGCGAGCTCGTGTCGAGCCTCTGGCCAACGAAATGGAGCCATTCTAAATTTATTTTTCAATGTAGAAATAGAAGAAATATCAATCAGTGAAAACAAAAGAAATTTACGGTAACACTGGGTTATCTAGCAGTATAGAGCTGTAAATTCTTACATAGTTCTTCTTGCAAATTTACGGCCACCATTTTGAATTAGCAGCAATGAATGGCACTTGTTTTCAAGATTCAATAGCATTTATCAAAGTTAGCATTTCGCCCGAATTTGTGCCTCTGTTAATGGATAAAGACTTGCTCTTGCTCCACAAGATTTTCGTATCATTACGTGGGGTAAAACAAGAATTATACCCTAAAAGCTTTGAGGTAAATGACATACGTGAAAACCTACCTCTCCACGTTGAAAACTCACGTCGTAAACCTCAAACATGACGCGAAGGGCTTGTCACGTGACCTCCTGAGGTTAGAGGTTCGCGGTAAACTCGGATCTAAAACTCTCTATTGGCATAATGGTCAGTGTGTCATCAACAAATCGCCTGTAGTATGTGGGCATCTTGCCTTCTTGCTCCAATCTTTCTTTAATGCTATACATAAACACATTAGCAAGTACAGGGCCAAGTGTGGATCCCATAGTGACAACGTCTGTTTGTTCAAACAGCTGACCATTAAAAATGAAAAGTTGATCCTTAGTTGCTGTGAGAAGATCGACAAGGTCTTGTCTACTGAGATGAAGTTGGTATGTTTCATTGAACCAATTGTTCGTAAATGCCTTATCAGTGAGTAGCCATATGGTTTCCTCCAAAGGCACACTGGTAAGACACATCGTAGGAAACTAGGATATCCCTGTTGTTGATTGACAAATAATTCTTTATTTTCCTGAGAGTAGCCAAAGTGTTTAGCAGGCAAAAGATAAAGATCTTTATGGTCATCCCAAGTAAGATGTTCGTTTAAGTGCAATCCTAGTAATTTTGTCATTTGAAAGCGTTCCAGCAGTTTGCCATCTACCACAAGGTTGGTTTTATATGAAATTATGGAGCTGGTGTTTGACAGCTGTTGGGACCATGTATTTAGTTTTTGCTGCGTTTAAAGGGGCTATGTCACCCATGGTGCATGTGCGAGTCAATAAAAACAAACTTGAAAAAGACAACCCGACTTTTTCAAGTTCTTTTTTACCCAAGAAATATTGTAAAAGCTCTGACACATACAGGTGTACTACTAGCCGAGCTCCACGAGCGTAGCCCCATAACTAAGTAAATCTATCCATCCTAGAAAATTTGTTAATCACGTGACCTTACACCGACCGTCCGTCCCCACCACAGGGAAACTAGTCTTTTATCTCGCACTTTCTATCTAGTTTGGGAGCCCAGGTGCAACCTGATATTGCACATCCATGTTGTGAACAATTGACAGTGGTCAAAACAGGGTATGTGCTGACCAGTGTCACGTGACTGTATCGCGGGCTCAAGTATCGCTCCATCGAGGTTTTTTAAATGATCGCGGGCTCAAATTCTTTTTTTTAAATGCATAGGAAATAAGTTGTGTTCATGAGCCGCACTATTAAAATTCTGATTTCAAAGTTCAAACTGACCTCGGAGGCAAAAATTCAGCCAGCTACTCAATAGGCAGGGATGGCACTTGCTTTTGACTTTTCTCATCATGGTAATGCTCTACGCCCAATTTTTATGCTCTGATTGGTCAAAATTTGACTGGTGACGCAAAAATTCAGCTAGCTACTCGATAGGCTGGGATGGCACTTGCTTTTGACTTTTCTCACGATGGTAATGCTCTACGCCCAATTTTTATGCTCTGATTGGTCAAAATTTGACTGGTGACTTCATGCGGAAAATTTGTGCAGCATCTGGAAAGTTGTTTACTGATAGCTGAAGCTGACAGAGTTTTGAGTCATCCTGTCATGTTTTTAAGTGCCTTTTTCCATTGGATGTACAAAATGAATACGGCTACTATTTAGATTCGTCTGTCATTCATAGCTGGTTTGTTTATTGGAATTGTGGTTGAGAGATGAGCGGCTTGTCAAAGTCATCATAAATCTGATTTTGGAATGGCATCGTTTTCGTTTTTCACTGTGCTTGATGCGTAAGAGGGTTGAAAAGTCTCAAGCGATTCTGGCCTTACTTGATGGTCTTTAGGAGCTGCATCTCGACTGGTAAGCCTATCGTATTTGATGTTTTGTTTTTCTGGTTTCATGAAATCGAGGGTAGTTTATGCGCGTTTGTAAGATTAGAGACAATGATCTGACCAAGTATAGTAAGCTTATCAGGTTTGATATAAACTTAACCTTACCGCACTTTAAAAGTATTTTAGACATTTTCTGACCGAAAAAGAAAAAAACGTACCGAAGAAAATTTAGTTACAATTTTGACTGTAAAACGCCTTGAGCGATATTTTTGCCTTGAGCTCATCTTGAAAAATAGCAAACATCAGGAAGCCGGCTAGCTTAAAACATAAGTTTAAATTACAGGGTGTCCCAAAAGATCGTTCCTCTACTTTATAAGACTGTAATTCTCTACGGCTGGATTTTGTAAGTAAATCATTTAAACAAAAGTTGTGTCTTTCAATCTAATTCACTATTTTCGTGGTTGTTGTGCCATCTTTTGACTCGAATATTCGATTTGTGTACGTCCGCGCCAAAGGTGCGCTTGTGAGTCCGAGGTCAGTTTGAAATATAAATTTTAAAAGTATGGTTCGTGAACACGATTTATTTCATATGCATGTCAGCGGATTTCCAAAAATACCGTAAGATTCCGAAAATAAGCCCCGGAGCTTATATTTTTCAAAGGCCCTTTTTGTTGGGGTCATTTTTGGAGGGGCTTATGTGCGGAGGGAAATTTGCATTTCGAAATAGATTGGGCTAGCCTTCTTCTTGGAAGGAAATTTACCGTTTTTCTTTGTTTTATTTTGTATTTGAGGGCAATTTCCAAGTACAAGCCCCCCCGGGGGGGCTTATATTTGGAGGGGCGATTTATCGGAGGGTTTTTGTTACGTTACGAGTTTGGGGGGCTTATATTTGGAGGGGCTTATTTTCGGAATTTTACGGTACTCTAGCTCAGTGGGTCGATACCTGAGCCCGTGATACGGTCAGGCAATACTGGTCAGCGGATACACTGTTTTGACAGCTGTCATTGATTACAACAATGACGTACAGTATCAGGTTGCAGGTTTCCTAAATTGCTAGAGAGTGTGAGGTTAAACATTGGTGTGCTTGTGGTATGGGCGGTGGGTGCACGGTCACGTTATTGCGAGATTTTCTAGAATGGATAGATTTACTAAGCTATTGGGCTCCGCTTAAAATGCAGAATTGAGCCCGTGATCAAATAAAATATCAGCGGAAAACTTTAAAAAATACGTGACCTCGATGGGTAGAAAAGTGAGCCCGCGATACAGTCAGGTGATGGTGGTCAGTGGATGCTCTAGTTTGATAGCTGTGAATTAACCTTGATTAGAATGGCGAATATTCGAATTAATGGACCGTCGACTACAAGTGTGAGTAAGACATTTCAGTCGGGCTTGTACTAGGGGCGAAATGGCAGATCGTGTACCTGAGCGGACCTGAACCCTCGCAGAAGCCTTGGTACGATACAATACAAGACAGTACGTTTTTATTAATTCTTCCCGAGAGGCTTTTCAGAATTAATTTACAATATGTATATATAATACAACTAAGACTAATGATATACATGTTCTTTATATATAAATAACAACTTAAAATTACTACTTCTAATAACTAACAATGTAATAATATACTATGGTATGTATACCGGTATCCTATTTCTTCATAAATTCTGCCTTTGCATACTTTTTAAATGATCTTAATGATCGGGCAGTTCTAGTGTTGTTACTGAGACTATTCCACGCTTTTGCTGTCCTATAAAAGAAGCCACTCTGGGCAGCCGCTGTCCGGCATCCTGGCAGGTTTAGATCTTCACTGTTGCGGAGATTGTAAGCGTGCGCATTGGATCACTTCCCTATTTTACAGCTTATGTATGCTGGCACTAAATTGTTAACACATTTGTACATCATTGTCACATCCCGCAACCAAAGTTGCTCCTCTATAGTCAGCCAGCCAAGAGCTTTCAGGGCCGGGGTAATATGATCGTATTTCCCTGTGTCAGTATACGGGCAGCAAAGTTCTGCATGAGTTGTAGTTTATGGATGTTCTGTTTATAAGTACCAGCCCATACAGCGGAACAGTAATTTACTGAACACAATAGAGTTGATCATTAAATTAATGTTGGTTAAATCTCTTCTGCATGTGACAACGAATATGCCGATAAATGGAAAAGGTTTTTCAAACATTGATCAATAGAAGCAAAAATAGGAGCGCTAGAAGTAAGGTAAAAACAGGTCTCGCCGAGTGCAATGCCACTTGATCACAGTTGAACGACCTCAGACGGACCTGACCTCCAGATCTGCCAGATGAACGTTAATTCAGTAATTTTTCCAGCCTCAAACCTCAATGACCTAGCTAACCACGAACCAAGCTCTTTCCGTCACAGTTGTAAATGAGGCGAAATTAAGTTACATATATGATCTTGCTGCATCTAATGAAAAATAAACAAAGATCTGATTGGTTGTATGAGGTTGTATCTCAAGGGATTGTGGCAATGAGGTTTGTATTATGTATCCCAAAAATAGCCCAAAGTGTAAATACGCTGTGTCACGGGCCCACGTTATTAGTTTTCTGATAGTGGTCTGCACATGTCCCATTTTGACAGCTGTCAATTGACCTTAATTTGGCTTGGGCATATAACTTTAAACTACTGGCAACCGACTGACAGCCCTGCCTGGCGTAGTTTTGTTTTTATGTTGAATTGCTGTGTGACATATTATATCAGCTTATATGCAGGGGCAAAACGACTGGTCTTTCATCAAGCGCGAGAGATGGTCATGTGATAATTTCCAGCGGATGTCTGATTTTGACAGCTGTCAAATTAATCATACTCGTACGGATGGCTTACATAATTGACAGGCATGTGTCAAGATGTGCAAGATCTATTGTGACATTTTACATCGGCTTACATGAAGTGTGTGTACGGGTGGGTAGGCGTACGCTACATCATAACCAAATTTCTTGGATGGATAGGTTACCGAACTTTGTTACCTATCAGGGCGTTGAAACGTGCGGGGTCGAGCGATCTAGCTGTGATGCAAGGGTCTGGGCACTACCGGGAAAATTGGCGCTGAGTTTTCCCTTATAAAGAAAAGATGGCGGACGGAAGTGACGAAACAAATTTTAGTATTTTTGAGGATTTACAGAACGTGTTGGGTTTCGATGTTACGGACGACTTTAAGTGTTTTTTGGTGGATCAAGAAGAGATAGCTGACAACTCTTCTAGTGTCAAATTTACCCAAGTGCAGAGGGATGAATTGGAAACAGTGCTCGAGAGGATTGCAACCAAAACCTGCAATATTCCAGGAGAATATGAAATTGCTTCCCGGTTATTAGATGTAATCTCTTCAAATGGAAGCGAGGAAATAGTACAATCATTTTTACTCTGTCTTCGCCAAGCTTTTTCGGACTTCTACTTTGTTACAACCAAAGAAAAAACGGAGGGTTATTCAGATTGAGCAAAACTTTTTCAGAAATGCATCAGCAGAAAGACTTCAAATTGAAGCAAAGTGGGACGAGTTGGTTGGACCTGAAATTACTGCAAGCGTTGCACACAAGCACTCTAGAATAGTTCTAGAGGATGTTTTGCTGCATTTTTGGAGTGGAAAAGAATCTAAGAACAGTCAGGAACATTTCAACATTAGATCCACCAGAGTAAGCCACACTGTTCGGAACTGGAAGCGATCAAGTACCATGCAGGTTGGGCGGTAAAGAGAACCAGGGATATCATAAAGGTAAGTGCTGAGGCTTCAAGTCCACTACTGTTAAAGAAATCGTTAAGAGATGACTCGGAGGTCCGGGTGGATTCCCAAAGTGCAGTGGCACTTATCGCTCTTTTAGGTAAAGTTGAACAAGTAGGCAAGGCTTCTGGTGCAGGGTGTGACACGAGCAGGTACAATTTTATCGTCGCTGACGAAGTAGTGCCATTCTTTGTACTACTACATGATTTTACAGAGGAATACTTGTCTCAGTCTCACCTAGAAACACATGGTAACAAGATTGTCATTGACTGCTTGAAGGCGATGTCTGCAAGTTGCGAGATGCGGGAAGCATGGGAAGGCATGTGCAAGAGCAAATTCCTACTAGAGGTGCAGGTGTGGTGCTGCAAAGGGTGTCAACTATGTTTGTTAAGTCAAAACAAAGTATTATTCGTGAAAAATTGGACCACAGAAGGGAAGTTTGTCACTGCGACAGGATCTAAAAAGTAAGACATCTAAGAAGAGCACATGTACAAAGTCTGAAAGTGAAGCAACCAAAACTCCAGCCGCTATAAGAGAACGGGTAAAACACTTTGAGGATCCAGAAATCACTGTTCGGTGTCTTGTTGAAATCAGTAAAGGAAATGATCCCGAAGGTGACTTCAATCATCTTACAGGAAAGCATCTTACGAAGTTGCTGAAAGAATTTTTACTTCCGGCACTCGGGGGCAAAAAGAAGTCACGACAGATTTCAGGAATCTTATCCCATTTAGGGATCCGGAAAAGGTAAGCTACACGTATAATCTTGCTGGTGATCAAAACTAGGTGAAACAGGATATTGGAAACAAAAAATATAATGACTCTCAAACTGTCTGATGGCGTAGATTAACATAAATCAATTATCAAGGACACAAATGGACGTAAATTAAAGGGTTGTATATAAAAGATAAGATAATGGATGTACTCCTTAGGGTACACAATTACACTCAGATTGCTACTTTATTTACATTCATTTTCCGGTTTTCGTCCATAAATCTCATCCATATGATGTATTCTGATTACACTGACATACTTTTTACATTTTCATTACAGCTTAAGCAACCTGCACGGCATACTGGATAGATGGCTTAACATCTCAACTCCCTATAAACACTGTATTTTTCTTTTACCACAAATACAAAGAGTGTTAATAAATGCAACTGAGTTAATTTTTTTACAGAAACTCTCACTATTAAATACATTTTGTACCGTTTGCTGAAGGGCCAAAATGTATAATAATATAATATGCATGGGGAACACTTTTGTTGCATAATAAATAGACAGGAAATCACTGGACTGAGCATGGTTTGAGGCCTGTACAATTTTAGGTATGTTTGTTCTTCTCAAAGTAAAATTCAATAAAGTATTGAAAGTTGGTCTGAAACAGCATCATTTTAAAAGGAGTTAGTTCCCCTGCAGAGGGTAGACATTTTCTAGGTTTCTTTTTGTACTAAAAGGGATGTGGTTCAAACCCAGATAGTGAAACCCCTGTCCCCAAACTAGAATCAAGGACCCTCTCCCTGGGCTAACTTTACACTGTAAGTACAAGAGAGGAATTAAAAAAAAGAAGAAGAAATAATCAAGCCAGAACCAGTACTGTTGAAAATCTTACCAATAACAAAACTAATGATAATATATTTACACTTATTATGAAAGCCTTACAGGCCATAGCACTGTTTGAAGAATTCCTTCCCTTGTTTAGCGCTTTGGCAAAGTCTGACCATTTGCAGCCAGGCTTAAACAGTCTTGTAACTCAGCCTGATTTGCTTGTTTTTTAGAAACTAGTTGGGAGGAAACATAGTAGATGGTACCACAAACATTGTAGCCATATGTATATGCAGTAATATTTCTGGTACCACCACACATTTGCCTTTAGGGACTTGTCAGAAATTAGCGGGGGTGGGGGTGGAAACAGAGGAAGGGTCACAACTTTTTGAGACTCAGAAAAGGGAGGGGTCATGAAAAAGGGGGAGGGTCATGCAAATATATGCCCGTGAACATGTAGAGGCTCGCCCACAGAAGAAAAAGTAAGTTCCTTGGTAAAAAAAAAGGGAGAAAAAAGAGCAACAAAACATTATGGATATAAACTGTGAAGTACTATTGCAAGAATATGACAAACATCCACCTTTCATTTATAACAATGCTAGAGAGTCTTATTGAAATTATGAATAATGTTGTTATTAATGTTATTAGAGTTTTGGCTATCCTATTAATCACTGTCTTCGGCATCACCATCAATGCTGCTGTGAGCATCTTGATCATCATCATTTATGTCATTAGCTTTGATACAATCATTTTCGTCATCATCATGATTTTCATTTAAGTAGAAGCGTAGATATTGCTTGATAATGTCCTGTGATTCATTGGTGAACAATCCCTTCTCAAAGGCATATTGGATATATGGCCTTCGTGTTTTGAGGAGCCCACTTATTCCCTCATAATGAATAGATAATGGGCCAATAGGCTCTGTAACATGATGCGACTCTTGATGAGGTGTAATGGTTTCAATAACTCTTTTGCAGTTAGCTTCCATTCTTGTTGCCCTAGCTTTCTTTGCTTTCCTTTTATTTTGTTTTTGTTTCCTTTTTTACTTGTTGACTTGGAATACTGCGCGTTAAAGAGTCTGGAACATTTTTCTTTCAATTCTCTAAGGTGGGGAGGGTCATGATATTTTAGGCCAAGCTCAAGGGGAGGGTTAGCAAATTTCACTCCCATTGCAGGGATGGGTCACCTCATTTCCGAACCCAAATTTAAAATTCCAACCCCCCTTCCCCCCTGCTAATTTCTGACAAGTCCCTTAAATAGAGAAATAGGACTCAACACAGTCCTGATTTAAACGATGCAAAATCAAATAAAGATCATCACCAAACTCGTCTTTAAATTCATTACTTTCGATATACTGCAAAATTCCTTTTAAAGCATTCACTGTTACCTGAAAAGAGATGAGAACAACAGTCACTTAACACCGTTGTTTTCGTGACCATTATTTCATTGGTGAAAAAAGGATAAAACAATCACTTTGAGAAAATTCATTACATATTCTTGTTAACAGCTTTACATGTAGCCATTATTACTAATCAAATCTAAAAAGAGGAAGGTTTTCATCCAAAAGAGAAATATTGACAATGTAAATATATAATAATAAACACGTGATGACTAGTCCCTCGGGAAACAGCTAATTTTGTTGCCCTCGAATGTCAATGTTTGAGGGAAACAAAATTAACTGGTTCCCAAGGGATTTGTTATATAGCTGGAAATTTTGAAGTTGGGAATTCATTAAACCTCGCTGTAACAGCGGTTGTCGGTCAATATTCACTGTTACCTTCTGATATCCTAGAGTTTTGCAACGTTGCCCATTCAGAGATTAGGTATTTTAAGATCTGGGACGCGACGACTTCTAGAACGCGGTGGCTGATAAAGGACTGGAACTAGAACGCCGTCGTTTGTGCGCGAAAAGTAAAGTTAAGATCTCCGTCGCGATGCAAGACGACGCGGCTGCAAACCGCTCTTTATCAGTGTGATTCTTCGGCAATTCTTTCGCAGAAATAGCCATGGTATCATTTAAGAAAGTCCAAGAAATGCTTTGCTTTGTTTGTGCCTAGCAGAAGAAATCATAGACGAAGAAGAGTTTGTTCTGCTTTACGATACATACAGGCCGAGAAATCTTCCTTTTCCTCACTCGGCGTATGAAAAGTTTTCTCTCGCGAATAAAGACCCAGCCAAATGTAAAGCCGATTTCCGAGTGGGAAAGAGGGACATTCCTTGACTTGCTGACGCATTAACAGTACCTCCTGTGTTCCGATGCCGCAATGGAACAATTTGCGATGGAGCCGAAGGCCTGTGTATAATGCTGAAGAGGTTTGCTTACCTGTGCCGGTATTCCCACATCATTCCTATTTTTGGACGATCTGTGCCAGAACTTAGCATGATTAGTAATGAGGTTGTAGACTGGATGTACACAACTCATGGTCGCAAAATAACACAGTGGAATCATGACCTATTAAATCCAGCTGCACTGAATGAGTATGCTGATGCCATTAGTATCAAAGGAGCAGCACTGGAAAATTGTTTTGGATTCATAGGTGGAACTGTGCGACCGATTTCTAGACTGGATGAAAACCAAAGAATTGTATACAATGGACATAAACGGGTTCATGCCCTTAAATTTCAGTCTATTGTGCTCCCAAATGGATTAATTCAATTGCCCATCACCCAATTCATTTGTTAGGCACAATTTTCTAATTTTAGAACTTTTTTCACAGAGGGAAGGATGCACGATGCACGAATGTTGGCAGTTTCTAGACTGTATGACGATTTGGAAAATTTCGCTTTCTGTCCAGCCGCAGAGAAATGTGTTGATATGGTGACCGAGCCTACCCGCGTAGAATCCACCTCCAAGCTCCTTTCCGAATTGGGGTTTTAACCAGACAAATGGAAATTTTCAATGAAAAAATGAGTGCAGTACGTGCTTCTGTAGAGTGGTTATTCGCAGACATCAACTATTTCAAATTTCTAGATTTTACAAAGAATTTGAGGATAGGTTTAAGTCAAGTTGGTAAGATGTATATAGTCTGTGCAATTCTACGAAATGCTTTAACCTGCCTTTATTCCAACACAGCTGCTGAGTACTTTGGTGTTGACCCTCCATCACTGCAAGACTATTTTCGCTAACTCTAAGTTTACAGCTTGAGAACAAAACAAAAGCTGAATAATGTTTAAACTGAAGAAGTGTAAAGAGATATTGTATGACAAAAGATTTTAAAATATGTTCTTTCTGTCTCCCAGAAATATATATGTTATTAAAACAGTAGTAGCAACTTTAACACTGAAGGAAATAAATGGCCTAGAATAACATTACACAAAAGAAACTGTTTATGTGAAGCAAAGCTTCAAGTTCAACTTGACAACACGACAACAATTGAATATGAAAGTGTTTCTTTGTAGACACTGAATAACTACTTATTTATTATCTTTTTCAATAACACCATCAAAGCCTTTGACTGTTGCTGTTGCTGCTGCATCATCATCATTTGAGAGTTGAGTAAGTGCTGTTGGCTTTGCTGCATAAGTTTTAGCATATCTGCTTGTTGCTGTTGCATTTGAATTTGATGTTTACTCAAAACCTCCATTTTTTCTCTCGAGAGAGTTTGCTGATCTCTCTTCATCTTTAGGTCTTCCTCTTTCAGTTCTTCCTCTTTCAGTTGATCACTTACTTTAGCTCTTTCAGCTAAGTATTCGATAGCATCACCTCCACTTCTTCGTTGATGCTTCGATTTGTCATCGTTTTCATCCGTTGATGAACCTCTTTTCTTCGTCTCTGACAGCTTCTCCATCGCTTTTAGTCTAACATCTTCCGCTTTAACCCGATCGTATTGAAGTTTTTTTGCTAGCTGTTCCTGTGTTACCTGTAATTCCGCTTCGCCACTTTCCTCCAACGCGATGATCATACCCAATAGGTTCTCTAGTTCCGTTGTGACATTTTCACATTTCAAAATGATGTGTTGTTTTTAGGTGTCAAGATATCATGTTTAAATTGCATCAAAGCTCACCTGGTATTTCATTAGCTGTTTATATAATGAAAATAGAATAGCTTTATTAGTGAATAAATCACACTGCAGAGGACCAATCAAATTGTAAGTATCACCTGTGATTACAAAATGGTTGTAACAAGTTCCAAAAACTAATGGTCACTTCATATTCATACATACCTTCAGATATCCATAGATGGCCTTAAAGAGCTTGTTGCCTACATTAACACTGATGAGTTCAAAGCTGAGTATGGAAGTTTGTACATAATTCTAAAGAGACTAAATCAAGATATTGTTGAATCTTTTTTTTCATCACAACGACAAATGTGTGGGGGTACAAGAAACATGACGGCCTTTACCTATGGCTACAATTTAAATGGCATTGTTGCTTATAGATCTTCAAAGCTTATTAAGAACAAGCAGACAAATGTCTGTGAAGTGCAGGAATGTTTGCATCTTGCAGAATCAAACCAGCATCTCCCAAGGAGATCGGATGGCCACACTAACATAGACATAACTTGGACTGTTGATCTTTAATAGATTTAAATAATAATATTAACACCAAACGCAAAATTTTTTATTACAGTGTTAAATTTGAATGTTTCAAAAAATATTTTACACTGTTGATTTTTGCAGAGGTTCTCGCAACAACATGTAATTTCAAGGGAAAACTTTAGTTTAATATTATTGCATCTTAGAGCAAAAGTTTTATGCAAGATATTGAACTCAGAGGAAAAAGTTAACATTGATCCAGCTTTCCTTGAGCTCCTGCTGATTGACACTTTGCTTTCATTTATGAATAATTAGTTTATTATGTTTCCCAGGGTTGGTCACGCAATGTTCCCTCAAGGTAGTATACTCAATGAGTCTTTATAATGTTATAAATAGATGTAAGGCACACTGATCCATAAAGAAGTGAGCAAGATAAATATTTGAATGAACAATGAATGGAGTTATGGAAAGGGTTATCACAAGACCTAAAAATTGGGGAAAATGTACATGTTATTATAAAAAAGGTTGATTAAACATGCTTCTTTTGTTAGTGGGATCTACCCTGTGCCAAGCTCTCTGATAGTACATGTAGGGAATTCGTGAGGGACGATAGGATGCATGTGATGTGGGAAAGGGGACATAAGCACCTCGCTCCAAGCAACCAATCAAAAATACCCCCAAGGCATATTTCACATCAGTTTTCACCATCTTTGCACAGTACTATGTTAGAGCTGGGAACTGGATAGGTGGTAGCCTGTTCCATGCTCCGAGACAGTCGGGTCCACTGAATTTGAGAAAGCGCAAAAACGAAAATAAAACGGTAGTAAACTGGGGCGGGAAGGGCCGGCGGACTTCTCTCCCTTCCTTTTTCCTTTTTCCCGCCCCGTCAACTTTTCGCGTACCTTTTTCTTTCGCGTCTTCCCCAGTATCTGAGAGCCTGGAACAGGCTAGATAGGTGGGAAAGCTGACCCTTTGTTATTCTGGTATTAAGTTAAAAATAATAATCTTTGGCTTCAGTTACTTGAACTCTCAGCTGCTTTGTTGGTCTTGAGCTGTGTTGGACAAAAAGAATAAAATATTGAATATTTAAGAAGTCTCAGTACCAGTTTAAAGAAAGATTGTGACATAGAGGTGAGAGAGAAATATAAGTTGAATTGATAATTTTAACTATTACCTGACGGTTTACCTGTCTTATCTATCTGTATGACTATCTAAGCTAACTGCAATGTGACTATTTACAAACTATCTCCCTAGAGTATAATACTAAACCTAAGAAGAATCTTGTTATCTACCTTTTCAGGGTACTTGATAATAAATTTGTCATTTCCGGCCAGAACAACATCCACTTACCGTGTTTTTTTCTTGCCATCCAGTGCTGGTTTTCCCAGGGCTGACAACAATCTACTCAGTTCCTTCCCTGACAAATGTATGAGGATGTCTTTTTTGTCAGGTTGGTCACAGATTTCTTTCAAACAGTTGGTAACGATTTTAGGGGACTCGAAATTCCTGCGCAGTTTCAAAACAATTTCAGGCAGACTTTTAGAAGGTGGTGATACCACATTTTTATTTTGCTGCCCTTTGACACCACTGCTCTTGCCAATCTTGCCTCTAAGTTCTTCCCTTAATGCCACGCTTCCTTTTTGTGGTTTTAAAGCAAATTTATCCCTAGATACCTGCTGTTTGGACTTCTCGAACATTATGCAAACCTTCTGCAAAACAAATACTGCTACTGGTTTTGAAAACCCTTCACCGATTAGCGTAACCCAATCTTTTCTCAATTGCTGGTGTCTAGACAAGTGTTGCAAACAGTTTGTTACCACTTTCTCTTTCTCAACAACAAATTGGCTTTTACATAACAAATTGTCCACAACAACATGTAATGACCAAAAAAATTCTCCAACTTCTCGCCTTGGTATAAATCTGAAACGCCCATCTTGTTGTTTCTCGTCCTTTCCAAGCTTTGATAATAACTCCAAAGCCACTGATTTGTTAACTTCGCACCAAGTATCATCACCACTTGATTTTTTTATTCGTAACTTATCTTCCGTACTGCTCTTAATAATATCCCGGGCCCGCTTTATTGCCCAACCCGCGTGATCCTTGACCGCATCAGTCTCCATAATATCATCAACAGCTTCCTGAGCAGCTGGTCGCGATGTGTTTTGTTGCTTGAAAACAGATCCAGTAGTAGACCAGAAATGTTGGTATACATTGTCAGAAGCAACACATTTTGGGACACCAGCATGCAATTTATAACCGCCGCCTGGTTAGCTCAGTTGGGAGAGCGCCGGTCTGCGGAGCGGGAGGTCGCGGATTCAAACCCCGGCTGGACCAACACTTAGGGTCTTAAAATTACTAAGAAGAAAGTGCTGCCTTTGTAATGACATCTGCAAATGGTTAGACTTTTTAGTCTTCTCGGATAAGGACGAAAAACCCGTAGGTCCCGTCTCACAGCGCTTTCACTGATCTATTCTTGTGGACGTAAGAACCCTCACTACTGTTCGAAAAGAGTAGGGGACGTAGACCCCGGTGGTGTGGCCAACCTTAACGGGTTGTGGGATTGGGTAGGGATGGCATCTTGCATGGGACCTGCGAGTCCCGTTCGTGCCTATTCCCTCTGGGCAGGCCTGTGTCCAGAAAAGCTTGGAAAACTAAAACCAATAGGATATCTTCCCACGCTTTACTAGCTGGATTTGTTTTGCTGCGACATTCTGTAAAATTCCTTTCAAGTTCAATTGCGCGCAGATGCTTATTTTGTTTCGAAGATCGAAGGCCAAAACACTGCTCAAACAAACCAGCCACTGATGCTACAAACTCAACAAATTTAACCTCGTCAACTTTACTAAGGACCGAGGCAATTGCCCGCTCTTGTTCCACAAATTAGTCTATCTGCCAACCTATCTAAAACTAGCTTAAGCGACGAAAAACTGACATTTGTCGACAGAAAACTATCCTTACCACTTAGTGACGGCTCAGAAATTGCCTCAATCTCGTCAAAACTGAACTGCTCGTCCGTCGTATCATCAATGAATAACCTCTCCAATTCTTCAAAATCAATATCATATTCCGAACTTCCGCCATTTTGATCGGCAACCCAGAATTTCACCCCAGTCCACTGCATCAGACCCTTTTGCTCGGAGGCGCTCGTTTTATCGGCCAACCTTTATCCGCCCTGTTTCAACGCCCTAGCTCATTACGCCCTGTTACCCGTGGTGCTCCGCTGCGCGCGATAGCTCTGGCACAAAATCCTTGCTGTGGAAGGGGGCCGGAATGATTATCTTTTTTGGATGAATGCCCAAGATATATTTTTTTCAGCTGCCTAAACTAACCAAATATTGTTTGGAGTTCGAACTGCCTCCTGCGCACCAGGTGATAAGAAGGCTCAAAATGGATCATCTGTGGGTCTACACGCTGTATCCCATTTCATGCCGCAACGGCTATAGAATGTGATAAGAAAACAAAAAGGGCATGCCAGTTACTGAAATTTTGAATGAATGTACTCAATAGAGAAATAAACATCTAGAAATTTCATGTAAAAATAAAGTTTTGATCAAAAGTTATAGTGCATGAATTTAGAGGAACGAACTTTTGGGTAACTGTGGGCATGCTTACATGCTGAGGATTTTTAGAGACACTTTAATCTCAATACTTGTCTTCGTAATTGAAAGCTGTTGTCTCTGTAAATGTTTCACCGAATTATATTTGTTTTGTTGATTGTTAGTACTCTCTTTCGCAATTTTAAACGCTGTGTCCCGTTGTTTTCAGTCGTACATGAACATCGCTTGCAGGAGAATTCAATCAGAACCCAAATTGCCGTTCGTATCAAACGCTTTTAAAGATTACACATAACAAAACCATTAAATAAACATAATAAATTCTTTATTATGTTGAAGCGTAACTGCTTGACTATCAATGTTCATTCAAACACGACAGCTCTCACTGCAAATTTTTCGCTTGTCAAAGGTGAGAACCGGCTGGCCGTGTACTGTATTCTCGGTTTTCACTGTCACGCAATCGAAAATAAAATTGCAAACCATTCAGTACAGAAAGTCCAGAATCTAGGAAATAAAAGAAGATAAATATGCAAAAGGCCTCACCAAGAATCAGGTCTGTGCAGTTTTTCATATGCGAGATATTCGGGAAAACGTTTTACCCAAATTTATAAAGCTTTGTATGGAGACGCCATGTTTGTGTCCCTTTGAGGGGCAGAAATATGGCCGCCGGAAACCAACAGAAACATCTGTCTTTGAGTTTTCCTACTAATGCGTGAGATCATCGCTTGAAAAACTCATAAAGGATTAAAGTGATATTTATTCTGAGACAAGGAATGTTTAGATAGCAAAGTCTCCCAAAATTGGTAATGTTTTTAACCCACATAAGAGCCTTCTCGACCGCCAGCCAAATGCCGCGTCACGCAAAAGTCTACAAATTCAAACGTCCCCTATCGCAAAACGAAGAACCCTTGGAACCAAAACTTTGTTTAAATAAAGGTGTTTATGTGCTGTAATACCTCATGAAACTCAGAAACTCAGAAGAATCGATAGTTTCTTAGTTTGAATTTTGGTGACGTCATGTGAAAACCGAGAATAGATGATTTTGGAGAGGTTTGGAACGTTCTCGCTAAAAGACCATTATTACCCTGCATACCACATAGGAGAGGATTGTTCTGACTGAACAGTCCCGACATTATGGAATTCTCTTTATGAAACGTTTTACAACGTGGTCAATTCCATTATTTGTTGTGCAAAGGAAGCGCGTGCTTCGATCGTCTTGAATATTGAGTGAGTGCAATTTGTCTTGAAAAATTGTGCAAAACTGTATTCTGTCCGAGGTCTATATGATAAAAAACAGTGCCTCCACGTTTATCTCGGATGTGATGTTCAAAAAGTACAAAAGGCAGCCTTTTTTTCACGCCACCAGATTTGTTGGCAAGATTTTGTAAGAGTAAACTTGTCGAACACAAAATTCGGCCTGATTATTTATTTTGCCTCCCTCTTTAGACAAAGTAATGTAACCTATAAATTACGTGTCATTTGGCTGCCACCAGCCGCTATAGCATAAAATTAAATTTCGGTACTGTCCAGTTAACCTCATAAAATTAAGGTGGTGTAGGTGGGCGACTGGGTTATTCTGTTTGGGAAGAATGTGTTTTCCAGTCCTAATCTACTATGATCGAAGATGATTGCTATTATTTAAGTATTTGGGTGTACATATAAGACTGTTAACTCGATGTAAGATTTGTTTCACCCTTAGACTGTTTGCAAATTACTTTTCTCTAAAATCACTTAGCCTTTCCCTCAAAAGTCACATGAATGTGTCCTAAAGTTAACTGATTTGTGGATTACAAGGTTATTGTTTGATTTTAAGTTTATTAATGGGGGCCTCACTTTTAGCCTTGGCTAAATCTATATATTAAAGCTGTCTCAGAGGGAAAGTCAAAAGGAACGCCGATCATTGAATAGTATCCGGCATAGCAAGCGTTTCCTCTCGAGTTCGTCGAGAAAGGTGGGACAAGTGCAAAAACTGAAGAGGCTGTGCACCAAGTTCATCATTACCTTTCATGTTTCTAGTTGGGTAAAGCGTTCAACTTCCTTCCCACTGTATTTATGCGATTGAAGGAGATCTTCGTTTAGGACAAACGCAATCTCGTACCAAGAGTTCTGGCTTTTTGGTCAGTGGGGCAACGTCAAAATAACGTAGGTACTTGGTGTAACCACCATATAGTGGTTTCACGTTAGTTAATCTTCGTAGCTCTATACTACACAGCCCTACATAATCATACACAGCGCTATATCCCTACATAGCCAATCCACGACAAATTTTCATCAATTGAGACTCCAAGAGATTTATAAGGAGTCACCCCTTCTATACGCATGTTGTTAACCTTAACCGTGAAATTATCTGACAGTAGTTACGTAGTAGTTGAAGTCAGGGATGACTCCCGATCGTCATGTATTTGGTAGTCTTTTTGACATTTTGAGTAAGCTGATTCACCTTTAAAAGCCATTTTTGAATTTTGTTTAGATCAAAATTCATTTTAACTTGTATTAGGTATCAGCATCTTGGTGTCGTCCGCATACATTCTGGGCCCTCGAGTTCAATTGACATAAGGGAAGGTAATTCATGTATAAAATAAACAACAGTGGACCGAGAATTGATCCTTGAGGAATTCCAAACGTTAACATACAGAAATTAGGAAGTTTTCAAGGTACGTTCAATGGATCCCGATTGGCCGCTATAATAACATCATCCCGAAGAAGAAAGAACCAACCAACAACTCAGAAACAAAAGTGATCATCGCCCGGAGATAAAGTTTTTGTAAATAGGCTTATTTTTAGATGTAATCTTTGATCTTTCTATTATTTGTATATAGTATGTCTTATGTATTTTTAGACTCCCAGCTGCTGATGTAACTTAAGATATATTTTTTATCTTAGGAGGAATAAAGATTGATTGGTTGGTTGATTGGCAATGTCTATCTGGACACCTAAGCATCTTGTAGAAACAACCTCCTCGATAACAAAATCGCCCATCCTAATACCTTGTTTTGGCCCAGTCAAGTGCCTGCCTCGAGTGGGGTCACCACCTTACCGTGTTGCCGAAAAGGTCGAAGGGTAGAGACCACACAAAGATTGACCCCCTGGTCCTCCAGGTTGGGGGTTGGGCATTGGGCTAACGACCCTACCACATAAAAACACTAACTGTTACAGAACCAGAAGCGATGATAATGAGACAGCACTGACTGGGGGTGTTGCTGCCGGGGCTGCAATGACGCTATTGGGTCAAAGCCAGCCGGAAGCCCAAAGGCCGACAGGCCCCATAGTAGGGAGATGAGGACCATGCTGGAGACACAACGTCGAGAAAGAGCGAAAGAAAGCTGGATGGAAGAGCTGGGAAGTAGCCAAAACGGTTGCACAAGAAAGAAGGGCTGGTCAGACAGCATGAAGGCCTTATGCGCCTACTGGCGTCTTTTTTGTAGTTCAATAAAGACACTTTAGTTCAAGAACGACAACAAAGTTCAATAACAACTACAAGAGTTCAGAAAATGACATAAGCATTACTAAAACCCAGTGAAAAGTCAGTTTTAAACACTGCGCAGTTAAACAAAGACACAAAAGTT